AAAAATAAAATATTAAAAAAAGTTGCTGCATAATTTTATGTTTCCACCAGCTATGAACAAAGGTTCCAATTTCCCTATATCCTTGCCAATACTTACTTTCTATCTATCTCTCTTTAATTTAGCTATGCCTAGTAGATATGCAATAGTATCTCATTTGGTTGTATTTTGCATTTCATTAATAATTAATAATGCTAGGCATCTTTCCATATGTTAATTGGCCATTTGTATATCTCCTTTGAAGATATATCTATTGAAGACCTTTGCCCATTTTTTTGGTACTAGGTTGCCTTTTCATTGTTGGGCTGTATGTATTCTTTATATAATCTGGATTTAAAACCATTATCAGATGAATGATTTGCAAATATATTCTTACATTCCCTTCAGTTGTCTTTTCACTTTCTTCTTCTTTCTTTTTGGTACTGGGGACTGAACCCAAGGACGCTTGACCACTGAGCCACATCCTCAGGCCTTTTTATATTTTATTTAGAGACAGGGCCTTGCTAAGTTGCTTAGGGCCTCACTAAATTGCTGGGGCTGGCTGTGAACTTGTGATCCTCCTGCCTCAGCCTCTCGATCACTGGGATTACAGGCATGTGCCACTATACCAGGCTGTCTTTTCACTTTCTTGAAAACGTCCTTTAATGTAATGCACATAAAACTTTATTTTGATAAAGTCCAATTTATTTTTTATTCTGATGCTTATATTTTCAGTGTCCCTTCTAAGAACCCATTGCCAAATCTAAATTATTCTTAGAGTTTTATTGTTACAGCTCTAACATTAAGGTTGTTGATTCATTTTTAGTTAATTTTTGTATATAACGTTAGGAAGGCATTCAACTTCATTGTTTTGCATGTTGGATATGTAGTCATCCCAATACAACTGTTGAGACTATTTTTCCCCCACTGAACAGACTTTGTAATTGCAAAATGCAATTCACCATTAATTCATGCATTTATTTCAGGACTCATAACTATATGCCATTGGTCTGTATGTCTAACTTTATGAGAGCACCACCCTGGGTTACTTTGACTTTGTAATGAGTAGTAAAATTAAAATGTGTGAATTCCTTCACCTTTATCTTCCTTCTTTAAGACTTTTTGGATGTTCAACTCCTTTGAAAGTCCAAATAAATTTGAAAATGTGTGAAAAAAGGCTACTGTAATTTTGACAGGAATTAAGTTGAAGCTGTACATCACGTTGGGTAATATTCTCATTTCAACAATATTAAGTCCTCCTACACATAAACACGGGATGGTGTCTTTCCATTTATTGAGGTTTTCTTTAATTCCTTAATACGATGTTTTATCATTTTCAATGTATAAGTTTTTAACTAGCTTGTTTAAACGCACTTCACTGCATTTTATTCTTTTAGATGCTATTGTAAATGACATTGCTATTTTAAATTCCTGTGCAAATTGTTCACTGCTGGCTTATAGGAAAACAACTGATTTTTGTGTGTTATCCTTGTTTGTATGTTGCAACTTTGGTAAATTTACTTATAAACTCTATTATGTTTCTTCTTTATTCCTTGGGATTTTCTAAATGTAGGACTGTATCACCTTTGAATGTGGATCATTTTAGTTCTTCCTTTGTAATTTGGAAGCCTTTTATTTCTTTTACTTGTGTAATTGCTCTGGCTAGAATCTCCAGTAAAGTTGAACAGCCTGGTGAAATGGGCATCCTTGCCTCATTCCTGATCTTAAGGGGCAAACTTTCATTCTTTTACCATTGAGTATAATATTCTGTGGGGTTTTAAAAATGCCTTTTATTCTACTGAGTATGTTCTCTTCTATCCCTATTTTTCTGATAATTTTTATCATAAAAGAATGTTGGGGCGCTGGGGTTATAGCTCAGCAGTAAAGTACTTGCCTTGCACATGGGAGGCACTGGGTTCGATCCTCAGCACCACATAAAAATAAATAAAATAAATAAAGATATGGTGTCCATCTTAAAAATAAATCTTAAAAAAAAAGAATGTTGGATTGTTGAAATGACATTCATGTATCCATTCAGACAATCATTTTCTTTTTTTTTCCTTTTGGTTCTATTAATGTATTACATTTATTGATTTTATGTTGGAACACCCTTGCATTCCTGAAATACTCTGCTTGGTATACAACCCTTATAATACACCTTTGGATGCAATATACTAGTAATTTGTTGAGGATTTACACATCTATGGTCATAAGAAATGTTGATGTATAATTTTCTTTTCCTGATTTTTTTTCTGACTTTGGTATTCAGGGTAATGCTGAGCTCACAGAATGTGTTAGGGAGTGTTTCTTCCTCTTTGATTTTTGGAAGAATTTGAGAAAGATTTGTATTAACTCTCCCTTAAATTTTTGGTTCCAATTTACCAGTAGAGCAGTCTGATTCTGGACTTCTTTGTTAAAGGTTTCTGAATATTAATTCAATCTCTTTATTTATAGGTCTGTTGAGATATTGTTTTTTGGTACTGGGGATTGAACCCAGTGGCTCTTTACTACTGAGCAACATTCCCAGCCATATATGATTTTCTATTTCATCTTGAGTCATTTTAGGTTATTTGTGTCCTTCTAGGAATTTGTTCATTTCATCTAGTTTGCCTACTTTGTTGGCATACATTTGTTCACAGTATTCTCTCTTAATTCTTTTACTTTGCAGTGGTCAGTAATAAAGTGCTCACTTGTTGATTTGCATATTCATTTCCTCTCTCCCTCTCTCCAGTCTTCTAAAGATTTGTCAATTTTGCTGATCTTCTTTAAAAACTTTTGGTTTCCTTGCTTCTATCATTCTTCTAATCTCTAATTATTTATCTCTGCCCTATTCTTTTCTATTTCTTTGCTTCTTCATCTTTGGGTTTATTTTGCCCTTCTTTTTATACATCCTTAAAGTATAAAGTTACTGATGTGAGGTCTTTCCCCCTTTTTAATATAGGCATTTATAGCTGTAAATTTCCCTTTGAATACTGGCTTTACTGAACCCGATAAATTCCGATATGTTGTGTTTTCATTTTCATTCATTTAGGTATTTTGTAAATTCCCTACGATTTGTTCTTTAACCCAGGAGCTGTTTGAGTGTTTAATGTCCACATCTTTGAATATTCAATTTTTCTGTTATTAATTTCTAGCACCATTTCATTGTGGCTAGAGAAGATACTTTGTATAATTTCAGTCTTTTTACATTAATTGAGACTGCTTTGTGGTATAACATAAATATCCTGGAATTTGGGAAATTCATTTGCAAAGAATGTGTACTCTACTGATACTGGATGAAAGTTTCTACAAATATTTGGTAAGCCTAGTTAGTTTTAGTGCTGAACAAGATCTCAATTTCCTATTGATATGTCTCTATGTTCTATCCAATATACTGAAGTCTCTCTCTTTTAAAAAGTATTTTTTTTACTTGTTGATGGACCTTTATTTTATTAATTTATTTAATATGCAGTGCTGAGAACCAAACCCAGTGCTCCACACATGCGAGGCAAGTGCTCTACCACCGAGCCACAACTCCAGCCCTGAAGTCTCTCTTATTGTAGATCTATTTCTCTCTTTAAGTCTGTTGAAAATTACTCTAATGGACTAAAAATTCCTACAATTCTCAAAGAGCCAAAATGTGCTTTTAAATTATATTCATATATCTTTTAACCAAGAAATTCCACTTTCAAAAAATATTCTAAGGAAATTACACTGTGGTCATAATCATTGCATTTACTGAGCCTTTAATATGTGCTATGACCTGGTCTGCATTCTTTAAATGCATTATTTATTAGGCAGTTTTAATAAACAATGCAATAATGACAAGTAGACAAATATATGTGATTTTTTTTAGTTGTCAATGGACCTTCATTTTATTTATTTATATGTGGTGCTTAGAACTGAACCCAGTGCCTCATACATGCTAGGCAAGCACTCTACCACTGAGCCACAACCCCAGCCCTTAGAGTTTATATTTTTATTTAACCCAGAGGAGGAATTTTACCTGCAACCACTGATATTCAATCAACCAGAGAAAAAGTTCTGACCATTTGTATGATTTAATACACTTATTAAATAAGTATTAAATATTTGGCTCTGCACTAGGGCAGGTTAATAATCTACCTATGTTTTCAATAAGTTAGGTTACAGTCTAGGTGAGGAGACAGGTTTGTGAATGTCATTAATAAGAACTATGTTACAGTTATTAATAGAATTCTAAACAACATTGAAGGAGTACTTACACTTCCTGAGATAACATTCACTTTGATTCTAATATTTTCATTGATATATATAATACTATTATTATATATTAATTATGATTGAGCACTTATGTGTCAGCTTACAAATGTATATATGTACTCCTGAAATAAGACAGGATTTTAAAGATGAGAAAATTAAAGCATGAAGAGATTAAATGTTTTGTTTGGTGTTATACAACTAGTAACTGATAAATTAGAGGTTAAACCTAGGTAATCCAACTCAAGAGATGGCACAGGATTTCTCTTAAAAAGTAACTGCTGAGATGTGTTAGCCTGTGTCTACTATCATCTCATTCCAACTAACCCAAGTTCTGCAAAGTTGTCTGAGCCTCTCCTGAGTCATTTATAAGACAGACAGGAGTCTAGATATCTTACCATAACTCTAATACAGATTACCAGTACATCTTATTCAGGCAGGCAGTCCTCAAAAAATATTATAACTTCTTCCTAATAGATTCCTATTCTCCACTAAACGTGACCTTCCCTTTTTTTCAGCCTTAGGAAATCTGTATCATTTTCCCTGTGGTAAGAATGAGAATTAAAATGGTGTGAAAAATACTTTGTGTACAATCAGTGTCCTGAAAAATTGTGCTCTATATGTGTAATATGAAATGAATTGCATTCTGCTACTATGTATAACAAATTAGAATAAAAAAAATAAAAATGAAAACTAAGAACAATAGGTTTAAGGGTAATTTCCATTTTACACTGCAGAGGGTACAGAAACTAATACTCTTATCAAGCCTAAAGAAAAACACATTAATTAGGGAAAGCAAAAGATACCTTCAGTCCTTCCAATTCATTCTCTAGTTGTTTAGAGTAGTGCTCGCTCTGCTCCCGCAGTTTCCTGTCTTTAGATGCTTCAGCAACTAGAGCGTCAGTATGAACTTCCAGCTTTAAAATAGAGTGAAAAGAGCAGATTTTGTGGTTATTACTTTTTTCAAACAAAATATTTTCCCCCAAGGGAATTTATCTTATAATAGGAAGGTAATTCAAATGTTGACTTCACATAAAATGATATTATCAAACTATAAAATAACTTTTTTTCAAAAATTAAAAAATGAAATATGTATTATTTCACTAGTCTCAAAAAGCAGCTTTAATCACTATCCCATGGCACTATGAAATTTGCCTGACTACTAACCTCTTTTTTGGCTCTTTCTGTTCTGCGCAGCTCTTGCCTTAAGCTTTCAACTTTTTGCATCACCAGGTCCACCTCTTCTTCCTTATCTCGGACATGGCGAGCAAGTTTCTGTTTTTGGGTGTGCAATTCTGTTAGCCGCTCATTGATCTCCATAAATTCCTGCATGGCCAGTTTCCTCTGACAGTGTGCGTCTTTCAGCTCTTTGGATTGGTTTTTTAATCGCTCACTAGCCTGGACTAGTTCCTACAGTTTTGTAAAAAAAATATAAGTTACCAATTCTGCCACCTAGAAACCAAATTTGGCCATCAAAGTAGCTATTATTAAGTCAAGAAGAGCCAAAATTATTTACCTCAGGAAAAAAATTAAAGGAAATGAACTACTTTTGAGCAGACACTAAGAGGCATGGTACCCTGTTTAAAGTCTCAACTTATTATGCCATTGTAGAAAATGCAAGGGAGCAGCTGATTTAAACTTGGTTTCTACAACTGAGTGGAACATACAGGCATATGAAATATGATGATCAAAATAAAGATTTAGTGAAATTTAATAAACAGGTGTGTTTTCTAAAAAAGTATATTGAATGATTGGAAATGATAAAAAATAAGGTTGCCTAAAGGATTAAAAATATGAAGACGAAGCTGTGGACCAGTAGCAAGGAGAAAAAAACTAAAACTGAGACTCTCTGAATTAGAGGGGCTAAAGCGGACTCAGATATGTACTACTGCCTGCCTCCTAGCAAAAGGAAAATCACATCTATAGAGAAAAGAATCTCAAAGAAATTTAGGCTTCTCACACATTAAGACAATAAAATCTGAGTTCATAACTACAGATTTCCAAAAAACACAACCATCATAACCAAACATAAATGGAACATAAACAATAAAAATAAATACCAAAGGTATATGGGTATTAAGAGTCATCAGATATCAACATAAAGTTGCTATGCTATGTAGAAAACATAAAATGCCTGAAGAAATAAAAAATGAAATTATAGAAATGGGAAAATGACAAAAGACTATTAAAAACAACCAAGCAGATTTATAAAAGAACTTTATACAACATTTAGAAATGAAAAAAAAAAATGTTAAAATTAAACACATCCCGCTTTATATTTATGAATAAAGAAAAAGAAACTCAAACCCAGATAGGTTCAAAATATGAATCTGAATAACACTAGAGAAATAAGACTTTAAAAGAAACAGCAAAAATAGGAAAAATCACCTATTCCCCACTATAAAAAAAAGATGTATAAGTAACAACAGAAATAGGAACACTGATAAATATTTCCAAAGAGAAGACAAAAATAACTAAAATACATACTCAAAATAATTACTTTTCAAGTATAAGGTTTCATATGAATAAAAATTGTCAAAGCTTACCAAAATCAAATATACACTAAAGAAACCTCTACTGGTTTATTTAAGGAGAAAGAAAAATGTTCTTAGAAGGAAAATTTAATGCAAGAGAAATGAAGGGCTAAGAAACTGGCAAACATGAATGTGAATATAAAGAAATGATATATGATTACATTATAAAATGGTCTAATGTGTACAGTAAAGGTCATAACCACTAAAATATTTGTCAAAAACAGCATATATATTGGGAAGATAAGAGAATTAAAAGCCTTTATATTATTTGAGGGGAGGAGTAGCTTAAGATTAAATTTAGACACTTAATATTTATGGTAAAATTAAAAACAACAATCAAAGACTAGAAAGAGTAGAAAAGTAAAATAAAAATAAGAAAACAAGAACATTAAGAAAAAATTTTGCAAAATTAAAAAAATCTGATGATTTGCTGCACAATATATGTATTTAACACTATATAATGACAAATATATAAATATATTATGATGAACATTATATGTACTTAAAAATTTTTTAAAAATGGAAGAAAGGAGACAAAAAAAGAAGCATAAAAAAGCATAACAAACAGAAAGGAAAAAATAAAGTGGTAGAAACATGCCCATGTACATCAATAATCAAAATAAATATAAAATGGGGCTGGGGATGTGGCTAAGTGGTAGAGGTCTGTCTAGCACACACAAGGCTCCAGGCACCACTAAATAAATAATTAAATAAGTAAGTAAATAAATAAATAGCTAAGCTCACCAGTTAAAGGCAGTTTGCTGTAACAGATTAAGAAATGAATCTGCCTCTCAGCGTCACCAGTTGCTATGTGAGTGCGGAGGACTGAGCTAGCTTGCAATAACACCTCTTGGCTGCTTACATCGATCTTGGTCTCTGATGGTCTTTTGGGGGTCCCGAATTCGAGCATAACATATGGGGGCTCATCAGGGATTCCCCTTATAAGCCTACCCAGTCACCCTGATCGAGAGGTGATGAAAATCCGGCTGGTAAGTAAAGGCATTGCCGATCTGTAATTTTCTGTACTCTGGTTGCCTGCAGGTTCTGGTTCTTTATTTTGTGGTCGGCAAAAGGTCCAGGTAGACGTAGCAGACGGGGTTTGTGGGAGACGTCCCTAGCCCCTTCTGGGTTCTGTGTGGATTGCCTTTAATAAAGTATTTTGTAAAGTATTTACTAAAGTATTTTGTAGCTGACGGATCCTCCGTCCGCCTCTGCTTTTAGTTTCTGGGTAGCAATCCACAACGCACTGTGAATTCTGTGGCTGCGCTGCAAATTTTGTGTTATGTGTGTTTGTTTCTATTGTCCTGTCCGCCTTCACTCCAACATCCTGGCAAGGGAACTAATCTCCCAATCTAGGGTTGTCAGACCCAATCTGAGGGGGATACTCCCCCAATCTATCTGTCTGAGGGGAAGGCTCCAGTTGGCTTGGGGCCAGCACCCCACTTCTGTTTTTGTCAACAATCTGAAAAGGGAATCTGTGTCTTTGTGTGTCTTTTTGTCTGTGTCTCTGTTCAGTGTGATGGCATTGTTTTACTTTGGACAGATGCAGTGTCCCATGTTCCCATCTGCCTTAGATGTGTGGAGGTAACTTAAGCTAAATTTTAGCCTGAAAATGTCCCTGGTATGCTTCTCCTGCTTCCCTGTAAGGGACCAAAAGTCAATAGAACCGCCAGTTTTTCTGTTCTCACCTCTTACACCCCCTTTTAGCTGTCTTTTAATGAACTTTGATAAACTTTACTCCCCTTTGTTAAATGGCATTAGGGAAGCAATGTTTTCTTTTCTTCCCGTAATTGGCTTGAGTGGACCCACTGCAGTGGGAAATGCCTGCTGGGGATCTAAGAACTTTGATATCTCCCTTTTTATTTTTCTCAAAACCCTGTCCTCATTATTAAATTGGCATTAATTGGCTTCGAGGACAGGAACTGAACTTTCAGTCACAAATTTTGGCACTCCAGAGGGGACTCTAGAGAAGCCCCTGTTCTGCATTCTTGGGGAAGCCTAGCACTCGAAACAACTGCAAGCGGAGGATTAACTTTTGAGAGCTGACTACTGGAAAGTTAGGAGATATGCCAGCGTGTCTGGGATTGGACCTAACCAAAGGAGCTAATCCTTTAAGTAAAAGGAGGGACTGAGAGACTCCCAGCAGCTGCCGAAGCCCCTTTTGCTTTGGGAAACTCCCTCCTTCCTTCCCTGGACTGTAAGGATTGCTCCATCTCTGTCTACTTAAAAATAAGGGGACACTGAATGTAGTAAAATCACCACACTGAGACCCTTGATTTTACACTTCTGGTTGCCCCTCTGTGAGAACATCTGGTCTACTCGTGGGGACATCTATAGTGCCACTGGTGTAGGAGTCATAATTAAATGGGAGTTAGAAACTTGGAGATTCCTCTCTTATCTGGTTTTAAAAGTTCCTGTCTGTCAGCCATAGTCTGGAGCTTCCTTCTGTCTATCTGTCCAGTGTCTTTTATTTTGGTATCTGTTTCTGGCCCTTTAAGACATGGGGAATAATGTGTTGATATCAACTGTGGAGTTTTTAAACACTGCAATGGAGATTTCACCTTTGAAAAGCTACAAGTCCTTTACTATGGTGTTATGTATGCACACTTGTATTATGTGTTGTCAACAGATGAAAATAATGATATCTTTATGAAAATTGGCAGATATATAGAGCGTTCATGAAAAATTTTAAAAAATGGATCCAAATATCTTTGATTCACGTGATTTAAACGGTTCAATTTAAATTGGGTAAACAGATGAAAGTAACGATGTCTTTAAAATTAAGCTTATAAGTTTTTCCTAGGTGATTAAAAAAAAACTAATAAAATGTTGATGTCTATGAAATAATCTGCCTAAATTCAGAAATTTACAAAGATTGTTTCAAAATGTGAACAGAAAAGGAAGTTAACAGATGGAAAAAAGAAATTAGAAGGTTCTAGGTATGGATTTAATAGAAGAAAAATGTGTTTCTGGATAAGAGAGTCTATGTAATTAAGTAAATAAGAGGGTTTAAGTAAGTGATAAAGCAGGTCTGTACATTGGCTATATAGGTTTAAGTAAATGATAAAGGTCTGTGTAAGTTGATTATATATGTAAGTTTTTTGAGAAGTAATTTTAAAGAAATTAAAAATTTTACAACTATGGTTAAACAACAACTGTTATTTTGCAATATTGTAATATATTATTTCTTTAAGAGCTAAACTTGGTTAATATAAAAACATTAATGTGATTGTTGTGCTATTAAATGTGTTCGTATCGTCTAGGTATACAAGTCTGTAAGGTAGAAACTTTAAAAGACCATTATATCAAGCTGGTGTTCTAAAGTTGTATGGTAATTTTAGGCTTAAATGAAAAACACATTGGAGATTTATTTATATCATTTGATGTTCTAAAACTGGACCTGTTATCAATAGGATGTGCAAAGTTTTGTTACTTTTTACATTGAGGTACAATTTAAGGATATTTTTAAGTTAATGAGAGCCTAATCTGTGTAAAGGTTAATATTGTAAAACACAAAAGTACTTTGCTACTTTTCTACAAAAGGTTAAAAGCTTTCAGCCTTTCTTTAATTCATGTTTTAGATGTGATACCATATTGTGTTAGCTGATATTTATGTGAACTTGAGCAACAATTTATGTAAGCTTTGTAAAATGATGTTTAAAAAGCAAAGATCAGCTTCAGAACTAGAGCACTTTACTTAATTACGAAGAGCCCCGCCTTACCTGAGGTAAGGCTCTGTGTCCCATCTTAGTACATGTGAGAATGACTACAAAAGAAGTAGGCCAGATTTCAGTACATTTAAAATTGTGACCAAAAGTTAGTTTTTGTCAAGATTACTAGGATCTCAAACAGGGGGCATAATGTATAACTCTGCCA